ATGTTGAAAGCGATCTATTCTATTGGATTCCGGTGAACAGCTGAATGTGTGCGGTCCGACTTTGAAACTTTAATGGGGTTAATAAGCGCCGTCTGAAGTTAAGTCGCCTTTTCATCGCATCAGGTTTTGCCCATGCTGTCTGCAGTTCTGACGGTATCAAACATGATTTCTGTCACCATCGTTCGTCTCTGCTTATGGCGATGAATACTGTCATCATGCTTGTTGCTGGTGATTTAAATGCCCAAGTGAATCGCTTGAGATTCTGATTAACACCTGAGAGGTCGCTTTGAGATCGATGCACACTGAACAGACAATGGCGATAAATTCCTATGACTATGAGCAGCAGCAGTGCTTTCTAGCACGAACGTTCAAATCAGATCACTTGGCTCCCACGGAATTCCTCCATGAACTTAATCCGAATTAACCATATTGCTATCAGCTATAAATGGTGCACATCAACCCGTCTGTCACTCAATTTGGTACACCTAACTGAATTCCGGCCATGTACTATTGCGCGCACACCTGATGCCTATTTTTCCCTCTTCAAAAAGCGCCCAGTGTCCAGGCTTCTCACTCATAACTTAAACTCGCAGTTTGTAATTCAACAATATCCTAAAGTTTCCGACCAGTGAGCCAGGTTAGTGAACCGAACACTGTCTGTAATCGTCTCAGGTGTGTCGTATAGTTGGCTTATAACCCCTGCTAAACCTCCAATGTTAGACGTCCTAACTGTGAATGGATCCTTGACGCTTCGATCAAACTGATCGAGGAACGGAAGTAGGTGCCAATGGGTGCCGAATTTTAGCGTGTCCGTGACGCTGTTAAACGACGTCTGACAAGGAGTCTTCGCATCGACCGGGAACCTTGGTTGGTGGCATGGGCCCCGTGAGATGGAGAAAGTCAGTACTATTGGGAACAGCCGAGTGCTACTCTAGCTCATCCGGAAGACGGTTCCGAAAAAGCCACCAGTTAATAAAACAATTGCTGAGAGAGATTGATAATTGATCCATTCTCAACGTTGTCGGCTAGCCCGTTCGGTGGAACATTCCGAAGATCAGTTCATTAGGCCTGCTGCGACACTACCGTTTGCTGAATCACCTGAGCCAGTTGTGGGAGATTACTACATGAGCTCGCCATTTTCAAACAAAACAAAGCTCCTGGGTTTGATGACCTTCCTCCATCTTTCATAAAAGACGGAGGTGGCTCTTTGTAGACTGGACTTGCTGCTCACTTCAGCACTACCTAAAACTCAGAAGAGGTGTCTTCAGCCCGGCGGCTGTCAGCTGTCGTGTCTATCTTCAAGTAGTGTCAGCGGCCTTTGTGCGAAAATTATAGAGGCGTTAGCCTTGTGTCCGTTGCGTCCAAATTTCTGGCGTGTATCATTCTTTGACGACCTACTAGAAGTCAGACTAATTCCCCCCTGTTCTTGATTGCGTCTATCACGTAATTACTCTTCGCCAAGTTTTGTAGCAGAGACATATGACTGACTATAGTGGTTAGTGAAGTAATTTATGGCGAGAGTGGACGGCCTGTATACAGCTTGTCGAAACGTTGGAATCATTGGACTGAACAGTTTGAAAAGCAGTTTAATAGGCCGGAATGGTTAGATTCCTCACCGACAAGTGATCGCTCTGCTCCGTGGGCTGTCCCTTTGTATCCGCCCTCTCAATCAGAAGTCGCACCTGAGATCGGACGGCTGAAGTTAAATAATGCAGCTAAACCAAATGGTCTTCATCCAGCCTTTTTCAAATTCTGGGGCCCTGCTCTTGTTGAGGATTTACACGAACCACTAGTGCAACTGAAATCTGTCCCAACCGACTGGAGCCGCTCCGTTATTGACCCGATCTTCAAAGGAGGCTCACGTTCGGAATGCGGCAAACCATAGGGGAATCCGTCTGATCCCTTTTCGCCTTTACATTACTTGCCTCTGTAATCTTTCACAGACTGACTGACATTTGTGAAAGCCAGTTTCGTGAGGAGCAAACCGGGTTTCGTCGTGGTCGCGGATACATCGACCACATATTCACATTACGTCTGTTCTTGGAGCACCGTCACATATTTGGCGGCACACCGTTGTCGTGCTTTTCGGCATCAAAGGTACCCTCGATTCGGTGAATCGACATAACATTTGGCTAAGCAAAGATGTGCTCGAGAAATATGTAAATATTATGCTAGCGCTTTGCACGCGTAGTTTGGGCAGAATGAGGGCTTACGGCAAGCTGTCGCCACTCTTCGATATCTCCTTCGGTGTGCGACAAGGATGCCCGCTGTCACCTTTTCTCTTCAACTTCGCTATTCACGAAGTCATGGAGATCGCGTTCACAGGACACGACTTAGGTGTGGACTTGCTCCCAATTAAACGACTTCTTGACTCTGAGTATACCGACGACATTGCCCTCATCTGTGACAGCTCCCAAACCCGCTAAGTGACACTGGACAGATTAACACTGGCTGTCACCCGTTTAGGGCTATGCTTTGCACCGTTAAAGTGCAAAGCTTTCTTCCAAGATTGGCATGGGCCGCATCCTGCGCTGACCCTTAGTGGCGATCAGCTAGAACTCGTTCAAAAGTTCAACTACCTAGGTTATTGTATCAGCGGCGTTGGCATTGAAGACGAGATCACGAACCGTATAGCAAAAGGTCGAGGCGTTTTTGTCACTCTTCACCATCTATGACGTCTGCGCGACATCACTCTCGTCCTGATGAGTAGAATGTACAGCGCAGCCGTATGTTCGGCCCTACTGTACGGTTATAACATCTGACCTATTAGATTGGCAGACATAAAGAGGCTAGTTACGTTCGACCACCGGTGCCTTTGTAGTTTGGCTCATATCTGGTGGGAACATCATGTGAGCAATGAGCGTGTTCGACGCCTTGTTTATGGCACAGAAAGAAAAAAAAGAACCACTCCGTTATTTCACGCACCAGGCTCCGATGCTTGAGCCACATGTTGCGCATTCCAGCCCACTGACTCCCGCAACGTACGTTCTTTGTGCGCCGGGGTTGTATATGGGAGAAGAGGAGGGGCGGCCAAGCGATGATTTAGTCAAGAGGAATGAAGGCCGTTACTTCGAACTTGGCTTCGGTTGATGCCTCTCGACTCCATGTCTGGGGACCGAATTATAATGAACACGTTTGGTTGAATACACTTGTTGACATGGCTAGGAGCAGACCTCATTGGCGTTTGTATTGTGAGTTTCTTTGTCCCTCCCACTTACCCTCTCTTTCCAAACACGAGCTGATTTATTAGGCATAATATAACTCCTTTTTGCGGCATGATAGCTGGCTGTTAACTCTGATCGATGTCCACCCGTTACTATGGACTCAGCCGGCGTGCCACTGTTTCATGTTTTCTTTTGTATTGCGCCACAGCTGAGGTGTTTTCCACCTGCAGCCAGCGTGTATAATGATGAATGATGTGACTCGACCTTTTCTGTTGTTTGCCTTAGCCACCTGTGGGTTTTCCTATCGCTGTAACATGTTGGTTTCTGGTCGTTTTGGCGAAAGTACTGTCTTCTGCTAATGTGAACTGGCGAAACCCATCAAAGCACTATTTCCACATTGCGTACATATACACTGCTAGACTACATCCGTAGGCGACATCCCTTTTGTTTTGCATCACAGGATGCGATTTTCTTAACTTCGTACTAGTCAACGTATGTCAGAGAGACGATTGGAATGTAGTCATTTGCTGTCAGTCATTGGCTTGCAGTACCACCGAACGATTTTTTCATCAAAGGTGTACTCTGTTCGGCGTCGCGCACTTGCGACGTTTTCCATCAGTTAAGGATATTTGCGACGCCACTTAATCCATAGAAACAGCTGTTTCTGTACACATCATGTGAATCTGCTTCTACTGATCACGACAACTTCTGTAAAACGTGCGAAACGGGTGCTAGCGAACATTGTGACCTTATCAAACGGATGACAACTGGCTTTTGTGAGCAGATGGTATGGGAGGTGGAGGATGAATTGATCCGGCGCTGCAAACTATTTAAGTACATCTCTCATTCTGGAGTTTAGCACATGGTAACCTCAATGTTACGGTTGTCTCCGCTCAACTCATTCGCTATTTCTGGACTGGTTCTTTACACTCATTCTGTTGACACAATCAGTATTCGAAATCGTTTATTATCCGATGGTCTGCCTGTGATTCACTGCCAGCTGCTTAAACCTTTCATGTTTCTTCTGCACCTGTTATTGCGGGGCCTTCAATCTGTGTGAAATCTTCCTCTTCTTCTTTGCACTGCATGCCCCCTCAGACATTACGGCATGTTCTTCCTTCATGTTTGTGCATGTGTATGTTTGTCTTGCTCTCAATGTACCTACGCGTGTTCACGTATCATCTTCGTCCCATGTGTCACTACCCCGACTGCGTCCACGGACTGACCTTGGCCCTTCACTATGAACCCTCCCTACGCGTCCATGTACACAGGCGCGCATCACACCGCTCCCCGAGCCATGTGATCATGCATTGCGCAGATCGTGTTTGTCGTACTCCATCCCCAGTCATGAGCTTTAGCGTTTGTCTACCGAGCGATTGACCGATTTTAGGCCAACCTGTTCAGTCCCGTTCACATGTATTTCGAACGATCAGTGACGTGACAATTTTGTGTGCATCGGGTTTTTTGGGCGCTTATTTCACGCTACTTGTTGTCGATCCAAAAGTGTAAACAATCGAAGTTTGTCATTGTATTTATTAATCTCTTGTAAATATCACCGTAGATGTTGGATCCACCTTCTATTTTAAGTGATCCGGGATTGTTTCTACGCGTGGCTCAACAACTACGTTTCGTCGGTTACAGGCGTCTAGAGTTAAACGCAAAGGCATGTAGTTAGATCGCAGCTTATTGTCGTTGCTTATCGTTGACAACATTCATCGGAAGTCTATCCGTCACCTTGAACATATTCATTGCAGTTGGTTGCTTTGTTTTACATAACTTGCTTCGTTCGCCTCTTTCAGTTGTCATTTGCACATATATTCGCTTCCTTTGTTGCAGTTTGAAAAAAGACCCACGGCAACGACCGAAATATCGCTCCCTTATGAGCACCGAATTTTTCTGCCGTCACAATGTTGCACCGATCGATGTTCTTGAATGGCTCCGCGGGCTCCCACTAAAGCACCTGCACCATCCTGACTCCACGAAATTACTGTCCGTTTCTCCTGCCACTTCTTTGGGTTCTCCTAATTCCACATCCACTCTCAGTCCCGAGATGCCTCGCGCCATTCGTGGTCTCACACTCGATGGTTCGTTTGAATTTGCTTCTACGGAACCAAAAGATACTCCCATGACGTCCGGGTTCGGTGTTGCCTTAGTTTCCGCTCCGAATGGCTGCGCAGTTACCTCTCACATTCCACTCGTCAGTCCCACTTTTCTGGGTACTCAAACTTGTTCATCGAACGTTCTCAGTTCAAGTACTTCAAATTGTCTGACTAGCAATTCTAAAGCGTTTATTTCTGGAGGCACTCAACAGCATGTTCATGAGTCTCTGGTTCAACATCCACCGGCGGCAAGGACAATGGTGAGCACAACGGTCGTCGATCAAGCTCATGACCCTTCCTCCCAGACATCTTCAGGTTACGGTTCTGCTAACTCTGATGGTTCACCTGGTTCCTTCACTAGTGGCAGTCGACCCTCAAGTGCATCGCAGATGTCCGACGTTAGCACGTCGGATTGTTGCCCCATGTCTCATCGGCCCCCTCTTTGTTCACCGTTGAATGGCACATTACTCAGGTACCCGGTGGCAGCAAATCGGACTCAGCTCCTAAACACCTCGGAGGCGGTTCGAGTCATTGATCACCATTCTAACCCGAGTCTCGATCACTGGAGTGCATCTGCGTCTTCTTCCCGCACTACGACGAATCGTGTAGCTAATCATTATGCAAACGATCATCGTCGGACTGCTGCTGGTACTGTCGGCCCGCTCATCAGGAAATTTGAGCCTGAGGGGACTCGTTCACATAAAACGACAGTTAAAGATCGAAGTTGCACACCTCCGGTAAGAGCCAGAAATAAAGTCGATGCGAACCTTGTCAGCTGTTCAGGTGGTGCTGACCACCTTCCGCGCCAAGTACGATCCCCAGCCACATTTCAGAACCGTTCGGCGTCCGTTGGAGCTCAGTTACAACGTGTCTGTGCGCAACGGTGGCCCAGCAGACCCACGCTGAAAAACCGGATTCCGGTGTCTGATTCGCGCCAAACTTTTGTTTCGGATACGCGTTTAGGGGCAACCAATGACTATGAAAAGTTTGCTGCAGCGCCCGCCCAACCTTACTCCCAGCGTTCATGCTACTCCCGCCTACCACAGGCTCAATCAACTCTTGACTGCCGAACTCCTAGTCAAATTCGCTGTGTCGCATTTGGCGGCTCTAATTCCCCACTCCTTGATGATCGTTGTCTTGAAGTACCGATTCTTCCTCCATTGTTTCCTCACGGTAATCGTTTGACTCAACGTTTATTTACTCATCCGCTACCTCGACAATCAAACACTTCTCGTCCTCATCGCTGTAGTTCGAGCAACAGTAACGATCCGACTTCTGGTATCAATTCGCATCCATCTGTCATAATGGCCGAGTCCCTCGCTAAAGTTCGTTTGAACGATAACCCCGTTTCATCCCATTCCCCTCATTCCCCCAGCTCAGGATCGAGCAACTCGCGAAATATGTCAGTTAGCACTCATCCAAGGGATCAGCACAACCGACTGAACCGACGACCGCCTTTTGAGACAGAATTGTGATGATATGCGTTGTACCTTTCTTATGCATTTCATTTCACCGATTTCTAGGACCCGTTCGCTTTCATGTAAGTGCCTCCATTTGCGGTTATTTTTAAATAGATTTTTCTTTCATTCTGCAACACCATCCACTAAGCTCATTTCTTTCGTTGCCTTTTATTGGTTTTGAGCAATGCAAAATATGAGCCCTTTCAGATTGTACATACTATTCCAGTTGCACCCCGTCTAGGCTGCTTTATCATTTTGTTTTCTTCCTCTGCAGATATTTCTCTTTCCCCTTGTTTCGTGCACAGATCTCATTCAAATTCATGTGATTTTTCGCCCTTATTTGTCATTTTTACTGCTCTTCGTTCACACGCACAACTTTCATCCATCTCTTTTGTGTCTGGTTAGCATATCCCCGCCGCTCTCACTGTGGTTGGCAACAGAATTTTTGCTAATAACCATTTTCAGCTGACTGACCGCATGCTTTTACTTTCTTCCTTTCGTTATTACTAGTTTTAAATGTTCCTCAGCTGTATTCGCTTCGTCTTACACGAATATACCTCACACAGACCGATTCGGCGATCGTGTCACGTATTTTAATTCGTGTATTGTATTTAAATACAGCGCCCATTCGGTCGAGCTCCTGCGCTTGGCTGTGCAACGTCAATACACATATCTTAATCTCTGATTTAACGTGTTTTTAAATGAGTTTTCCGGAATCCACGCGATGTTCGCTCAGGAATGGAATAGATGACTGAAATCTTTCTCAGGGTTTGCGTGAACACACTCGAGGTGTGACATGGTGGAGCTATTAGAAGACCGCACTTCACCTATGTTTTACCCCACTTCGGAATGTGCTCGCAAATTTTATAACATAGTCGTCTCGTAGTGCGACCCACGTATCATGCGTGATACGTGTTTGCTGACTGTACTGCTGCGGTGTGTTCAGGCCTTGAAGGGACGATATAGCAACAGAGTACTCTGGTGCATCGCACCGACGCTTCGGTGCCGTACAATTGCCATCAGCCGTGCGCGGAATTGGGTCATTACAATGTCACCCGCACCTACACGGATCTGAATCGATGACTTTCATGTTACAAAGCAGGCACTTTATTTCTTCGGCCACAGACCAGCCAAAATCTAAACAGTAATCAGATAAATCTCTTCTCTAATTGATTTACTCACTCGAACATGAATGTAATGCATGGTATTCACACCTCTGCTGTAGAAATCAGCGTCGGGCTATCGAACGTTGTCTTCTGTCAACTTCAAATTAGAGTGACCTCAATGCTGTACTGTCTTCTACTGTCTTACTACAATTTACCCCTTTTTGAACGGGTCTGTACTGCGACGAAACGAATCCAGTACACAGTGAATTAAGTGCAATCGGCTGATTCGGCTCCTAAGCTTTGCATTAATCCACGTTAACTCACATAGTTTGGCTAATCGACTAGGATCCTTGTATCTGGTGCGGCGGGATCAGTTACATCGACACACGTTGCTTAAGTACAACGATACGCACTACCCATAGGGATAATTCCATGGGAATGGACCATGATCAGAATCGCCATTCAATGGTTAAAACTTAAGCTATGAGAACGGATACGAGAGCACCATCGACCTCGTGATTACGACTTATTCTGTAAGGTATCTACTTACTGATACTATCAATTCTAAGGACACCATCTGGGAAGATGACAATTGCCGACTCCACTAAGCCTTTCGATACATTCTTGCTATTTTTCATCACCTTTTGGTTTCATCCAGCTAGCTGCACTAAGACAGGCGCATTGGGAACACTTGGTCTATTCAACACAGACGATTCGAGTTCATAGGATACCACTGTTCCATATTATTTGTATCCGGATTTCAAATAACAATCTTTGGTTTTTTGTGAAGATTTGTCGCAGCTAGACTTGTTGGACGAAGCCTGGGATACTAGACGGTAAGCAATGATACGTAAGACGTGTCAAATACGACAGTGTAGAAGTCGGAGGCGACTGAACCCAACGTATATTGTGCAGGCTACAAGAATAGGAAGCGAATCAGACAGAGCGAGAAACGTGCAGCGAGGTACTCACCAAAACGGTTTGTGTCGACGGACGTGCAGTCAGTAAAACAAATGGACGTTTCGAAAGTTAAAACAACAGTAAAATCCAATGTTACAAAATACTGAAAGAGCTTGTTTTCCGGTGCACTACAAGGGCCTCCCCCTAGAAGGCTGAAGAATGGAAGCCTTCGATGGAGCTGTTAGTGGGGGAAACGGAAGGTGAGGGTGGATGCGAATATTTGCAGGGGCTTGAGTAAGAGCTTCCAAAGTGGGGTGTGTAGCAGATTTCGCTGGGTCCAGGCTTTTGTTACTTATTTATGCGATCGTGTGGACCAGAGTGCATCATCGGTGGGCCGTCTGGTCGGACTGCAAAAAAACTGGCTAGTCCAGAAAAAAGGCCGACAGGACCATCCCTTTGCTGCAGACCCGACGGTGCGCTTGGGAGGTGTCACTCCTCCCATCGCACTTTAGTCCACGGTCCTCGTCCCACGAAGAAATCCAGGCGTCCTCGTCGGCAATGCCTAGGCGGCGTTTGGGGACCAATCCTTTCGTGGGTGTCTGCGGTCGAGGGCGACTGTCTGTTCCTTGGGTGAGGAAGGGGGCTTTGGGACGGCTGGCGAGTCACTCGGGGGGTTGCGTTGAGCAGGTTGGCGAGTCACTCGAGGGTTGCCTGGGCAGTTCCGGCAGTTGAGTTTCTGGAAGGTAGAACTCAGACGGGGTGAGCAAGGGTCGGGGAAGTGGCTTGACGCCGGAGAGGGAACATGGCATGCATGATAAAACAAATACGCTTTTTAGGTTTTCAAAATGTTTTGGGTTTTTTGTCGATTCTGTAAAACGTTTGTGGATGAGACGCAGGATAACCACTAAGGACGAAAAAGGCGTGTTAATGGGACTAGCAAACGTTTACAAAATCTGAAAAACGGACCAGACGTTTAACCTGTCTACCGCGTCGGTCGGTTGCCTGGGGTTGCGGAGGGATAGGTTGCGGGTCAAGGGGTACGGAGGGTTCCGGTCTATCCAGTGCTCGGGAAGTCACTACAGGTGCGGGTGCTTGTGCGAGAGCATCAGGATGGGCTGCAAGTTGGTCAGCTATATGACAGAACATATCTTGTAGTGCGTTAACTTCTGCGACACTAGAATTGGAGTGCATATATATACATCCGAGGAGTAACGTGTGACGATCAACATGTGTACTTGCAAACGCGGAGTGTTCGAAGTAATTATGTGAGAGTACATTGGCCGTTGAGGCACACACGACATTGTGAACGTATATGGCGCAACCACCTCTTTGCTTGGACTTACGACAACCAGTAAAACTCTTATAACACCTTATCTGGTATTTATACTCAGAAGTATCTTGCATTAGCCACGTTTCGATCATAAGTGTGATTTGTGCATCAGCTAGGAAGATAAGTGAGCGTAGTAAGCGAACTTTGTTTTTAATGGAGCGTGCATTAAGCAGCAGAATACGCCTGGAAAACGATTGACGGGGCTAGTTCATTATTCGTTGAAACAGTACAGGGCTATCCCCTGATGACGACGTATCTGTTTTGTTTGACGGGAATCCGGCGATATCTGGTTTGGAATTATTGAAGGTATTTGAGCATGTATCTGTGGCCGTGGGGAGTTGGTGCGGGGGTGAAAATGACGCTATCGTTTCCACGGCTGGCAACTTCGGAAGCTGGGACAATTTATCCCTTGTGTACTCTGCAATTCATTGGAGTATGGGATATGCTGAGGCAATAGGTGCAACTTGTGACTGGCCTGGTATTGGGCCATCCTTGCCATCTGGACAAATTGAATAACCAGTGGGATCACGTAGTTGGCTTCCGTCGGATGTACCAACGCTGGAAATGGTTGTGAGACCATTCCCGATTCCCCTAAGAAATGGTTGTCTGAAACTTGCTTCGTCATTGTCTTTGTGCGTATGGGGTTAGGTACAGGTCAGCGTTGACCAGTTACTCCTGACACTGTAATTTTTTGACTATTCGGATGTTCGCTGAAAGACAATATGCAGGATAATCCAAACGATAGTTTTTTTCTAGGCTCACTCACTTTAGGGATATGAGTAATGGTTCGGCAGCGATGGCTTTTTTCAGAAGACGCATAGAATGTGTTTGGTGATTTTACATTTGGAGATCCTTTGCCACGCTGCAAACACCGGTTCTCGTCCGATCACCGAAATTAATCAGTTGTTGAGCACAGTTAGTATACCGGGTCAGTTGACCCACTCTCCGAGGCATATCACGCCCTGTACTTCCGGACGGCCCTTTCAGCTGTGTGTGTCGGCGTGACCCAAGTGACCTTGAACGAACCTGCGTTCCAATCTGTTGTTTTGCTGCCGTACTCAGTTGCATTTTGTCACACAAATGTGTGTTCACACTCACTCGACCCAGATTCATCTGCGCTATCTAGTGCACTCCATCTTTCGGATCTAGCTTGTGTGGATCGTCTTTTATCTCCACATTGCAGTTTTTGCGTCATTCCCGCAAAACACAATCGAGGAATTTTCCGAATCACGAACCACACAGAAATATTTGTGGTCTCAAAAGAACGCCAACTACAGGTTTCATCTGACGAATCAGCAACTACAGCTGTGGACTGTTCATCAAAGAAGCTATCGTACACGTTGTGTCCTTATCGCTCAGTCGTTCTGTTTGCCGCGTGAACGATTTTGCCGCTTAAACCTACCCCGCCTGGGCTAGACGCACAGAACGTGACAACCTTGAACATTCAGACAATTCAGCGCACATGCGACCGGCAGGAAATCATAAGCGTTCGGGCCTCTCTGGGAATACCATCGATCGACGCAATGGATTTTGGCGACCAATCAAAGCCCATGTTGCCACATCCAGATCGACAGTAGTTTATGGCCTTCGTTCATGCCATAAAAAGGTACGGATCGGAATCCGGTGTAGCAGTTGCCAAGGCAAATTCCATCGCAAATGTTCCAAGCTCACAGCGAACCAGTTGAAGCTACACAATAGTAAACCAGATTCACTGTGGTTCTGTTCAGTATGTATAGTCATCCCACTGGTAAAGATTGTACATGAACTATCGCAGAAGTACGAAAGACTAGTGGCAATGTTTGAACAAATGAGGAGCACCAAAAGCGATTCATTTGTAGAAAGCGTGACAGAGAGTAAATCGCAGTCATTCCCATCCAGCACCGCATTAAAACTGAGGAAGAAGGCTAGGCAGCGCGCTGAAAATGCATCATCTGTGGCATTAAACGCCAATACCGCGATTTGCTCAAATATGCCTGAAACAAGATACCGCCAGTCCGATTGCAATGAGCACGGTCAGGGCCTCGTCCACCCTCCAAACGGTTCCGAAAATTCAGAAGGGCTTCGACACCAGTGGTGGTTGGAACTTGGTTGCTGCCAAAGGTGACCGGAAACCTAGATCTTCGGCCACTCCCACTGGACCCATAGTAAATGAAGAAGACGAAGCTGTACCCAAACAGCCTCCATCGATTGTACACAGACCAGCTGGTCGCTTGAACTCAGCTAGATTTGCACGTAGTATACCAGCGGTAATCTGCACCAACGTTCCAGAATCGACGTCAGATTCCTTAAAAGGAAAACAGCTCGATGACGTGAACCAGTGGAACTCCATATGAGACACTATAGGTGTT